CTCCCCGCCCGCCCCACTTCTCATTCACTTGGCTCGCACGCCGCAGACGGCGCAGGGCGCACACACCGCCAGTCTGTGCGCAGAGTCGGAGCCAGAGGCCGCGGGGACACCGGGCCATGTACGTCCTCAACTGAAGCAGCACCTCAAAGCGCAACTCCCAGCAACCCAGCGGATTTCAGGGAGCTCAGACTCAGAGGATCCTCTGCAGAAAGACAACCTAAACCCCCACCAGGACAGTCTTCACCCCGACGCTTCGCTAGTGCAGACAGGAGCGCGCAGTGGCCCCGGCTCGCCGCGCCATGGAGCGGATCCCCAGCGCGCAACCACCTCCCGCCTGCCTGCCCAAAGCGCCAGGACTGGAGCACGGAGACCTACCAGGGTAAGTTGGCACGCCCTGGTCCCTTCAAGGCTCAACTCCAGCCCTGTGTTCTGCGCCGCTCTCAACTTGGAGCAGCTGGGGGTGAATCGGGGGGTCTTGCCGGCCTGCAGCCGGTGCGCACGCAGTCACAACCCTTTCTGGCCCCTCTCCCTGCAGGATGGATTTTGCCCACATGTACCAAGTGTATAAGTCGAGGCGGGGAATAAAGCGGAGCGAGGACAGCAAGGTAAGCGCACCCCTGGGGACCCCACGCCCCAACCCCTGGCGCGCGCTGAGTTTCTAAGAAAAGTTTTCTCGCTTTGAGGTTGGCAGGGGGCTGCAAAGTGTGGTCTTATTACTTCTACCGAATGACTTGGAAAAGAAGGGGCAGAACGTGGTGTTGGGTGCGACTCTGCTGTCCTGCCCGATTCTTCTCGTGCCTCGGGGCGGGGAAAAGGGGAGCCTTTGCATCCCCTTCCCCAGGAGCCCACAGCCTCCTCGTGCGCCTTGCAGGAGACCTACAAATTGCCGCACCGGCTCATCGAGAAAAAGAGACGTGACCGGATTAACGAGTGCATCGCCCAGCTGAAGGATCTTCTACCCGAACATCTCAAACTTACAGTAAGTGAGAAGCTGGCCCCTCTCCAATTCAGCTCCTCTGCCCAGAGGGCGGGCGGGGGTCACTCGCCGCCTGCAGGTCCCTCAGGGAACTGCAAGCCAGACCGCCGGATCAGAGCTGGAGGGTGGCTCCGTGTTCGGGTACCCTTCCCTAGTCCTGGGATTTTCTGGCAGCCTCATGCAAATGAGGTGAAAACCTCTTGGACCTCTCCAAGTTGACTCCAACACCAGCTGGCATGCCTTTTCAAGAGTTTAAGACTTTCTCTTGTGATTTTCAGGGTTTTCCTTTCAGTCAGGTTTCTTGCCAAACTTTAATTCAGGTTTCCGGACTTAAAGAAAGGAGCAAACCAAGCAACATGCAGATTTTATTTATCCCTTTCTCCCCTCACTCCCCCGCCCTTTAAAAAAAAAAATATATATGGACCAGCTTTGGTGAGTGATTTTTTTTTTACATCCTGTCCTTTCTTGACAGTAGCCAACAGCTTTCTAGCTTGGCAGCCATTGGTTGGGAAAAGGAAAAAGAAAAATATTTGGGTAAAAAGAAAAAAAAGCGTAGATGATCTGGAAGTTGTGACAGGGTGTCAGGAAAGAAGCTAGGGAAAGCCTCTTGGCTGCCAGACACAGTAGAAGTCCCTCTCTGGGTTGACACCACTGCAGAGAAATGTTATCTCTGGAGTCCCCAGAGTTAAGGTCAGCAGCGGCTGCTGGAGAAATTTATCTGTCAAAGCTGTCTCCTGAGGTAGTTGCAGCTTCTAAAATGCCTCCAAAGATAGATGACACCTGTTTTTTATTCTTTAATCAGATATATGTGTGTGTATGCATATGTATATTAAAAACATGATCTACAAACTTAAAATTTTAATTTATCCAACTAGGAAAAGCTATTCCATTTTTTTTTTTCCTTTAGAGACATTTCTCATTGCTAGTTAAGTGTCCCAGAGGTGAGACTCATCTGACCTCACCACTGACTAAGGCTTTTTTTATTCCAGACTTTGGGTCACTTGGAAAAAGCAGTGGTTCTTGAACTTACCTTGAAGCATGTGAAAGCACTAACAAACCTAATTGACCAGCAGCAGCAGAAAATCATTGCCCTGCAGAGTGGTTTACAAGCTGGTGAGTGCCTGAGTCTGACTAACATCTCTTAGAGTTCCAGCACAGAGAGACTGTGAGCTCAACATTTGATGTAAGAAACATTCTTGCAACAAATTGCTCATGCGTATTCATTGGGGAAGATGCAGTTTTATCTTTCCTAAAAGGTCAGACTTTTCATTTGGAATGCTTCTGTGTGCCACCTGGCATGGATATGTGTTAGTCAAATGATAAAATATTTCTGTGGCATTTTGGCTTAAGAGTTTCTGGGTTCTGGGAGATTTCCCCCTTCTTTTTAAAATGCCAAGGCAATTATAATTTGCATCGTGGGCATTTTACAGGTGGTTGTCTGAGCCCCCTTTTATTGGAGAATAGATCACGGGTATGCCCCAGTGTTTTCATGTTTCTTTGCTTCCTTATCGTTCAGTGTGTGATGTGATCCTGGCAGGATGACAGTAGAAGTTTTTCCTGCATTTCATGAGGTTCTCTGAATAGCCACTAGGTATCTTGGTGAATTGCACAATCTAACGAAACCACTGAAGTTTCATCATTCCTTTCTGCTGACTTCCAGAGGATTTCTAACCTTTCCCTTCCCAGTCTCATCCCTTCCCAGTAATACTCTGCAGACTGGGGCAAATTATTCTATCCACTCTCTTGTTTTATTCTTCTCTGCCTTCCTCTCCAAGGCTAATATGAGAATGACAAAAACCCAGCAAGGGCTTCTGGGCCAGTTTCCTCATTAAAAATTGATCATATTAGGTATTGATCAATTAGATATGAAAGATGATCACACCTAATTTCTTGGGGATCATGGATAGAATACATGAATTTAGAAAAAGAAACTAAAGATTACAGTGTGACTGAGGCTTTTCTAAGTCAATGAAAATAAACTCACTTTTAGGTGGTATTGTTTCTTCATTCTTTATTTCATTTTATGACTATCTGGCCTCTGTCCATCTTGCCATGGTGAAATCGATATTCTATGAATAGATTCAGGTTTATAAATATACCAGAATGTTCATTGCTGCATCACTTACAATGAAAATTCTGGAACAACCTATAAATTCAACAAGAAGGGAAATAGTCCACCTCTATTAATTATGGCTCATTTATATGATGGGATATTGTGCAACTATTAAAGATCATATTTTATCTCTGTGTGGTAGGATTGTGGGTTATTTTTATTTTATTCTTTATACTTTTCAGTGTAATTTTTCTCTGAGCATATTACTTTTGGAGCATATTACATTTAGGAATGCAAGTTGGCAAACAGTATTTTTTAACAAAAAGGAAAGCCCCCAGTTTTTGGAGTATAGGTATCCAGGTGCATCACAGGGCCTTCTGAAATGTTTTCCTTGCATCTGTGTTCCCCCCCAGGTGAGCTGTCGGGGAGAAATATCGAAGCAGGTCAAGAGATGTTCTGCTCAGGTTTCCAGACATGTGCCCGGGAGGTGCTTCAGTACCTGGCCAAGCATGAGAACACTCGGGACCTGAAGTCTTCGCAGCTTGTCACCCACCTCCACCGTGTGGTCTCAGAGCTGCTGCAGGGTGGCACCTCCAGGAAGCCATCAGACCCAGCCCCCAAAGCCATGGACTTCAAGGAGAAACCCAGCTCCTTGGCCAAAGGCTCAGAAGGCCCTGGGAAAAACTGTGTGCCAGTCATCCAGAGGACTTTCGCTCACTCGAGCGGGGAGCAGAGCGGAAGCGACACGGACACAGACAGTGGCTACGGCGGAGAGTCGGAGAAGAGTGACTTGCGCGGCGAGCAACCGTATTTCAAAAGCGATCACGGACGTAGGTTCCCCATGGGAGAAAGGGTCGGCGCTATTAAGCAAGAATCCGAAGAGCCCCCCACAAAAAAGAGCCGAATGCAGCTCTCCGATGATGAAGGCCATTTCTCCAGCAGTGACCTCATCAGCTCCGCGTTCCTGGGCCCACATCCGCACCAGCCCCCCTTCTGCCTGCCCTTCTATCTGATCCCACCGTCAGCGACCGCTTATCTGCCCATGCTGGAGAAGTGCTGGTATCCCACCTCTGTGCCAGTGTTATACCCGGGCCTCAACGCCTCTGCCGCAGCCCTCACCAGCTTCATGAACCCAGACAAGCTCTCAGCTCCGCTGCTCATGCCCCAGAGACTCCCGTCTCCCTTGCCAGCCCATCCGTCCGTCGACTCTTCGGCTTTGCTCCAAGCTCTGAAGCAGATCCCCCCTTTAAACTTAGAAACCAAAGACTAAACTCTGCAGGGGATCCTGCTGCTTCGCCTTCCTTCCTCCCTACTTCCAAAAAAAAAAAAAAAAAGCCCACAAAAAGTTTTTGTGAGTGCAGCGAGATTGTTCCATTGTGTATACTGAGATAATCCGAGGCATGGAGAGGAGATTCAGGGTGCGTGTGCATGCGCGCTACGTGCACGCGCATCGCGTGCCTGTGTGTTGGTATAGGACATTAAAGCTCCTTTTGGGTAGGGAAAATGCGAAGGATTGCTTGACATCAGGAGATTTAGGGGGTTTGTAGCAGACTTCTGGGCTTTTCCCCACCCAGAGAATAGCCTCCTTTGATACAAATCAGCTGGATTTTCAAAAGCTTCAAAGTCTGGTCTGTGAGTCACTCTTCAGTTTGGGAGCCGGGTCTGTGGCTTTGAGAACAAGGTACTTTCAAAAGAGGGCTTTCCACAGCGCAGCTCCCAGCCAGCTGTGAGGACCCCACCCTTCTCCCTTTATTGTTGATGTGACTCACCAGACGACGGGGAGAGAGCAGTCAGACTGAACTCTGTTAAAGTGGTGAGGTAGCAGACACTGGCATAGCCCGGTAGTGGTTTGGGGAGATTTCTACAGGTCTCCCCACCCCTGCCTCGGATGAATAAGGAGAATGTAGTTCCCTGCTCAGGCTTGGATGATGATTAGCTTACTAAGGAACTGAAAATGGCCCCCTTGTGCAAGCTGAGCTGCCAGGGAATGAGGTAGGAGTTCCCCAGGCCTCTGGCACCTGTTTCTTGGTCTCACCGGTAGTACTTGCTGTCCAGGGAACCAAACTAGGGTCTGAGAGATGAGGCCACCCAGGACGCCCCAAAGTAACAAATTGCTACCTTCTAGCAAAGCTAGACTCGGTTTTAAATTCTATCCTAAAAGCTCCTTTTAACCAAGCTTAGCTTCTCAAAGGCCTAACTGAGCCTTGACACCGCAAGAACCTTTCTGTAGGCTAATTCTTCTTGCCTGATGGCATATGGAGTGTCCTTATTGCTAAAAATTCTCTGTCTCCTTCAAAGATGTTTTATTTTTGGTCCAGAGTTCTTGTTTTCCTGACTCGTCCAGCTAACCGTGCACCAGCTTTTCAAAATGCACTATGCTTTGATCGCCGATTGTGTTTTAACTTCTTTTCCTGTTTTTATTTTGGTATACAGTCGTTGCCTTTATTTGTAAAGCTGTTATATATTATATAAATATATTGAAAAGGAAAATGTTTCAGATGTTTATTTGTATAATTACTTGATCTACAAAGTGAGAAAAATGAATGTATTTCTGTTTTTGAAGAGAATAATTTTTTTCTCTAGGGAGAGGTACAGTGTTTATATTTTGGAGCCTTCCTGAAGGTGTGAAATTGTAAATATTTTTATCTATGAGTAAATGTTAAGTAGTTGTTTTAAAATACTTAATAAAATAATCCTTTTCCTGTGGAAGAGAAAGATGGTCTCCTGAGCTTTTTAAATAACTTGATGTGTGATGTGGATGTCTTTTATGTCCTCTTGTCTAGGATGAAGGTAACTAGTTAATCTTGGTGTAATTTCATTCAGCTTTTCATATGCCTTATATTCACTCAGAAGAAGCTTAGTCAACCTAGTAGGTAAATATTGGTTTAATTTTCTTTTTTATTTTTATTTTTCTAAAAAGATGACCGGTAAGGGGATCTAAACCCTTGGCTTGGTGTTGTCAGCACCACGCTCAGCCAGTGAGCAAACCAGCCATCCCTATAGAGGATCCAAACCCATGGCCTTGGTGTTATCAGCACCGCTCTCTCCTGAGTGAGCCATGGGCTGGCCCTTAATTTTCTTTTTAACTTTTCCATGCCAGGGGTTCACAATCATACTATACCTCTTTCCAGAGTTAAGCAAAAAGTACATTTTTCTCCCTCCAGTCTGCTTTAGTCATGATCTTTAGAATTTGACAAAACCACGGAATCAAATCATGGGCCAGAGTGCCTGAGGAGCTTGCTGGAAGGGCAGGCACGTTGAAAAAAGATTTAATGGATTATTAAGCAATAATAATTGATGCTGGAGGTAGCACCTCTTTGCCAAGGCAGTTTGACGTTTTCAAATCTAGCAAGGTCTAATGGATTTGCCATATCCTGTCATTGCTGCTGGAGGCAACGTTCCATAGTTATTTTCTACATCCTTCCTGGACTTCCTCTCATTGGGTGTGTTTGTGCGTGAACGAATATTGGTGTTCCTTAGTCAAGTGCTCTTATTAAAAAAGGGAAAAATTCCATGGGAAAAGAAGTGGGAAATGACCGGGTTGAGTATTTTTGCCTCTCCCCTTCACCTTGAGTTGCAGCATTCCTGTCAGATACTCCCTCTCAGAGGTGTCCTGATGTCTCCTGATGGTCAGTGCCTGGCTCCACATGCTCCAGCCCCCAAGATATCTGAACCTTCCAGAACCCTCTGGTTCTCTGGAGTCCAAGTAGGGAATTCTCAGCCAGGCACAGGCACTGCCTGCCCATTAGGACTGTTTGCTTCAGTTGTCATCTTCCTTGTCTCCTGATGGGCCAGCAGGTGAGGGCGAGAGTGAATGTTTCTTGCTTGTGATAGACAGATGTGGAATGTACAATTGTCCCCAGGCCATGTGGTGTTGTGCAAGAAGCCCAGGACCTGGAGTCAGGAGGCCTGGCATCAATAGCTGGTGGTCTGATCTCCCCCTCCACGCCTGTTTTTGACTAGATAAAATAAGGATTCTGAGCCCTTCTCACATGTCCTGGAGCAGGCAGACGGCAAATTCTGTAAATCCCTCCTTCTCCCAGCACTTACAACCCACGCTTCCAGGTCTCCAGCATGCTAACTTCCTGAATTTCTCCATGAGTTGCCAGACCTTTCCAGCTAGACTTTTTTGGTAAAAGCCCGGACAAGTCAAGTTTATCCTGATGATGGAGCCTGGGGTTGAAATCAAGGCCAAACTCTTTCGCATGCCCCTCTCTCTTTCCTAGGCCATGACTCAAGGAGTAGCTGTGGGGACAGAAGGAAGTGGTTGGAGCAAACTGAGCTAAAAAAAGATTTGAGGGTTTCACACACAGTCAACCCAGAATCCCCCTACTGGAGTCTGCTCCTATCAAACACCCTCAAAGTTGCAGCTGTCCCTCTGCCTCCTTTTCTGCTTCCAGTTTGCCCTTGACCTTCCTTCTAGCCCAGTTTCAGCAGGATCCAAGTGCTCTAAGAGGGAGAGGCGGGGGAGGGGCTTGCACCCCAGCCTGCTGTCCACTGGGGACAAAGAGGACCTCTGTTTAAAAAGGGGTGTGTGTGTGTGAGGGGGTGAAGCACTGGCTCTGGGGCCAAGGAGAGATGGCAAGACCCAGGGGAACAGAGGCTTGGGATCTGGCCGCTTTCAGACAGGGCGTGATCCTCCGGGCCTGCCGGGATGGTCTCACCCAGCGCTGACCTGCCTCGCCTGTTGACACAACGTCACGTTTCCGACTGCAGCCCTTTCATGTGCGGCCCGCGGCTAAATGCGGCTGCCGGTTCCTGGAAGCAGACGTGCCTGGCACCGCGTCAGCAGAAACCTGATCCCCGGGGAAGCTTGGCAAGGCCTCGGGATCGCTCGGCCCCCAGAAATAGGGCCTGGCAGCGGGGCGGGCAGCGCCCCCCCCCCCCCGCACCCCAGCAGGAGGGAATCCGAGCGCTCTCCCGCCAGGGTGGGAGGGAGGACTGGGTGGGGCAGGGAGCTGGGTTTAGGCAGAGCACTGGAACAAGGGCCTAATTAACTACAAGCTAGAAGCTTCCCACGGGTCATGGCTCATCAGTGCAGCCGAACAACCTAGAAGTACCATTACGGATACTATTATAATTCAAATTTGAGGCCGGCCCGTGGCTCACTCGGTAGAGTGCGGTGCTGATAACACCAAGGTCACGGGTTCGGATCCTATATAGGGATGGCCGGTTTGCTCACTGGCTGAGTGTGGTGCTGACAACACCAAGCCAAGGGTTGAGATCCCCTTACCGGTCATCTTTAAAAAAAAAACAACAAATTTGTACATAAATAAAAGCAAGCTCTGAGAGAGCAGATAACTTGCCCAAAGCACACAGTTCATGGCTAAATCATTAGTAGGATGGTCTAAATGTTAGATTGTGAATGTCTTAATCAGATCCAAGGTGAAGGCTTTCACAGAGGCTAGTTGTTAATAATTGTAATTCTACAAACATTGGTATTACTACTAATGATAATAATAGCAAACATGTTTGTAGAGATTTACTATTTGCCAGGCACTCTTCAAAACATTCCACATATGATAACTTAATTATCAGGGCAGTTCCATGAGTTAGGTACAATTATTATTATATTAATGAAATAGAAGCACAGAGAGGTTAAGTCACTTGCTCAAAGTCACACAGCTCTGGTGGTGAATTGGAATTTAAACCTAGGCAATTTGGCTGCAGTGTCTATGTGCTTAACTACAAAACGACACTGCCCTTCTGGTTAAATTAATAATAAAAATAATAATAGTCACAGTAGTAATAACTGCAACTGTTACTACTATATTTTGAGTACTTCCTTATGCCAGGTACTTTATTAAGCACTTTACATAAATGGTCTCTATTTCTTATCACAACTGTGAAGGGTAGATATTAACATGTTCCTGCTTTTTAATTAGAATTTTTTTTTAACGCACTCATTTTACAAATGAGAACTGGAACTCAGAGAGGAGAAATGCCTCATCGGAGGAGACATATCATATAAGAAACAAAATCATACCCTTTTTCTGGTATGGAACTGCTTCTAAACTGACGTTGGGCTTTGACACACATTATCTCATTTAATCCACAAAATAGCCCTTCGGAGTAGATACTTTGATGCAGATGAGCTAACGAAGCTCAGAGTAAAGTGATTTGCCCAATTCTTATAAATGTCCTCCCCCCATCCCATAGTCAAGAATGGGCCCATTTTCAAGTTAGAGAAACAAACCCAGTAGGACTAAGGGGGTGTTGGGAGGCCCTACAGATTGACAGTGCTGAGAACCAGAACCTGGGTTTGAGGACACACTGTGTGGAATGTTCTGGGGTTGGGACAGGAAGCATGCTTTTCTCACTTCTCTCTTAAGGTTAGGAGAGGTCTAGGTGGAGGGGCCTAGGGCAGTAGCTGCACATGGACTGCTTGAGGCAAGGCAGTTCTGCTGGAAGTGGGGATGGAGGCTGAGATTGAGTTCCAAGCTCTCTTGCTGGAAGGGAGGCTCGGCAGGCTCAGAGACCAGGCCCCCCCAGCTCCTGTCCCTCTTAGGTTCCTTCAGCCCACCCACACCCTGGCCCATGGCTTCCCCTTGGCCATCACCCCAGTGCTTGGCTGGTGTGGGGTACGTAGGAGGAGGCTTGGCTCTGTGAATTGGGGCCAGCCTCTCAGGTTAGAGCTTGACGTGCTGCCAGGTTTCTCCTCAGGCCTCTGGAGCCCAAGGCGAGGCTCAGAGAAAAGACAAAATGTGTGGAGATCCCCAGTGGTTTCATACAAAGACGATGCATTAACAGGGTCAGCCTGTTCTTCAGAGCCCCAGAGTTCCCTGAGGCGCCTGCCACGTGGCACGGAGGGAGGGAAGGTTTTGGGCTTCTCACCCTTCTTCAGCGGGAGTAGCTTCCTTTTCCTGTTTTATATATTGTAATGGTTTGTTTGAACAAGAGTCGTATTGCTGGAAAAACATCATGAGCAAGTTGGGAAGGCAGCAAACTGCAGCCCCTTCCTCAGACACTGCCATCGCCTCTCCCACCTCCTTCCCTAGGATGCAGAGGGAGGCTGAGGCCATTCAAAGCCACCCCCCACCCCACCCAGCACCACCCCCTGTTTATCCCTGTCCATCTGTTTGGCTCGACTGCCACAGCGGAACATGAGCCGGGTGAAGCCTCTCCCACTGGCTATGGGATCCACTGACATGTTCGTCTCGCGGCTGGGCCATCCAGTCTTGTGATGTGGCTGGATTTGGGCCCAGAAGGTTTCTTCTTCTATAAATGGGCCCCTCCCTTCCCAGGAGAATCTCGGCAAAGACATCGAGGTGGGGCATGAGGGCGTCATGAGGCTGCGAGGTTGGGGGGGGGTCATCTTCAAGCAGGGACCAAAGGGATGGGGGCAGCCAGCCTCTGTTACCAAGTCCTGGCCCTGCTCTCTTATGTTCCCCCCACCTTTGTGGGGGCAAAAAGGAAGAAATTTATGCTTAGGTATTTGTATGAAGAGCAAATATTTTTTTCGAAACCGTATTATGGACTGGGGAGTAGAGGTGGGGGTTATGCAAAAGTCTCAGAGGAAGTCAAGTAGGGAAAAAGAAGAAAAAAACCACTGTCCAGGAAAAAAAAAGTGCTTCTTAAAGTTTTAAATAAAATATCTGATATATTGTATCTTTTCTACTATGGAGAATTAAAAACATATACAAAAGTAGACAGAAAAAAATTTTTTTTTAAATGGGCAAAGAGTGCGAATAGACATTTCTCCAAAGAAGATATAT